ATTCCAGACCTCAAGGTTCAACGAACTCAAAGCTCGAACAAATGAGAAAGAGTGGACAGTGGCACTCTCCGACATACCCGACTGGCCAAGAATCGAAGCCGTTGCTAAGTTTAGTCTTCGTACCGGACACGATTGCTTGGCAAAACACCTTCACAGATTGGGAGTATACACTCAACCCACATGCCCTCTATGTAACCTACATGAGGAAATGGAGAAGACCCACCTGATTCGGTGTCCAGCCCTAAAGACAACGACGGAAAGCCAGAGATACTGGGAAGCAAGAAGACTGCTAATGTACTTCTATTAATTAACTGCTATAAATGTACCCCCCATCTCTTGGGGGAAGCTGAAGTCACTTCTCCTTCATTCCTCTTATTTAAACCATCGCATCGATTCAATCAGCCCAATTAACTATGTCTTAAGAAGCATTTCCAGACCCCTCAGAAATGGTTGTCCCTATTTCATTTGTTTGATCTACATAGTTTTTAAAATTGATTAATTGATCGGTTTGAAAAAGTGGTTCGAAGTTGGTAATTCAAGTTTAACAACTTTCCTGCCATAAAGGTATTCTCCATTAAAAGTGGAAGGTAACTTATTTGATCTTGTATACATCTAAATCTTCTATGATAATTGGTCTACAGCATAGGTGAAATGTTATTTTCACAAAGTAGTACTTAATTAAAGCATCTGTCAGTTAGCTCACGATTTGTTCACCAATAATCATTTCAACACTTCCTACCTCTGACCTAAAATATCCCATCACTTCAATTTCCATCCTCCTCGTACAACACGTTACCACATCACGCTCTCCCCCGTTTCAAACACTTCTACAAACTCAGATGAAAAGCCTAACAATGCAGGAAATCTCCGTGAATCGGCGAAAATGTTGACTTTGACGAGATTCAGGTAAGGGAATTTCAGTAATAATGAGGTTATGTGTAATGATTGTGGTGACGGAAAACCCACCATTCTCATTTCAAATTACGCCTAGTTTGCGTCCAAATCAACTTGGATTACTTATTGAGATAGGTAAATCTTCCAGGATTTCGATTTCTTCATCGAAATAGCTGCATTCAATGCAAAATTTATGTCAGTCTTTTTAAATACTTTCATTCAAAGAGAAATCTTGAGCCAACAGATTCAGATATAAGTTATATTCCTGATCACACATCCAAGCACACGATTAAAGATTAATTTTAAAATAAAGTTTCTAGGGTGATTGTATGCTTTGTCATCTCTCAAACGATTGGTGGAAGGACAATTTGAAGGTGTTCAGTATGACAGTAGAATGAAGACCATGTCATATTTCCAGTAGCAATTTAACGAAAGAATCTGTCTATTTATTTTATTTTCAAATAATCCATATTTGTCATTTTCGAAGCACATCTTTTCTATTTCAATTTTAAAAACATCGGCAGTGCAAAACTTTGCCTCTTAATGCCAATCAAAGAGTGCTTCTCAGTGCAATTAATTCATATTGAGAATAGAAAAGGGTTATGTGGTTGTGTATGTGGTTCGGTTATTAAACGACAGGTTGATCGACAATTTGAAGGTTTTTTAAAAGATTTCATGCAATAATAATAACAATAATTATTGATCCAATTTCACTGGCAGTTGCAAACATGTGATGTGAACTGGGAGTTCCACCTATACAGACCTCGTAATTCGTGCTTTGTTCCTTCCAACGTTTATTGATCCATGAAATTGATCCCTCAAAAATATTTCCAGCATAACTTCAATCGAGTGCCAAAATAGGTGAGCTAGTAAAACAAGTTGTACAAATCTATTACAGCATATACCATACACATCTTTTTTGATTGCCTCATTTAGAACATGATTTCATTTTGCCATTCTTTTCAAACCATGGTGATGAAAGGACACTTAAATGGGAGAAATAGCTGTGGGCATTCAAAGCGAGTTTTGGTTCTAAATCATTTGACTTTCTACATCCGTTAAATATGTTTCTTTGCCAATCTCAGTTTTAAGATCAGAAAACATTACTAAGTCTTTTTAGTAGCAACTTAACAACGTTAAGTATTTATTAATTTTGGAAAATACGTGCATTTATAATTTTTAAGGTGATTCTTTTCTATTACAATTTTACAAACAATGATCAATCAAGACTTAACTTCATAATGTCAACAAAGTTGAGTTTCTCAGTGCAAGTTCTCCATACAGAGAATAACCGTTTGGATAAAGAAGTCGTGTACTTTTCAATCACTTGATGCATTACTGATTCACTAACGCAGCTCTGCTCATTTATTCCATTCAGTGTTATTGCGTGTTCATGTTCTTTTGTCATTTTGGTCTGTGTACATTAAATCCACAATACGAACGGCTTGAAATGCAATTGTAGTGGATGGAAGTTGGGAGTTGTGAATTTTAAAACATTAGATTCAAATATATGGGGTGTGCGATAGATTTACCTCCACGTGGGGCACCCTGGGCAACGTACACTCATACGGCAAAAAAGTCTACTGACAGTTGACTTCTGACTTAAAAACTACCATCACTTCACTGAATGTCGTATTCAACTACTTCCACAGTACTCACCTCACCATTTTCTATCTTTATGTCTCTTTTACATTTTTGAAACACTCTTCTGTCCCCTCCCCTCTCTATATTTTTTAAATATGATGTTTCCTCCTCTCTGTGAAGCCTGAAGTCAACTAAAGGCCTAGTGATATCTATTCAAACGCCTGCCATTTGATATAAATAAATAAAAGAATCAAATATGTTGTGTTTGCTACCGTGTGGTTTGAAAAATGAATCTGATTTATGCCTAATGAATCTTTATGCCTGATTAGCACTGCTACCAGTAGTCACTTCTTGCAATGCCCTACCATTCATTCAATCATAAATATACAATTCAACTCTATTTGAATGCATTTATTTACTTCGCAAAGAAGAGCATGTGCTCTAATTTATTAGTCTTGCTCTTAAATGAGTCGATGGTCGACAGTCAAATTCGTTCAAAAGAAGTGTTGAATGAAATTGGATGTTTTAGTTAAAATCACTGTCAGGTCTTAAAACAGGAAAGAATTAAAGAAGTTCAATTTGAACGCATTTCGAAAATTAATCTTTTTTCATTTAAACATCAATAAACTTTAAAAGTCTAGGATATTTGTATTCTTGAAATTAGTAGCATGCGTTTTACACACTGATCGTAAGTTGAGACTGTCAGAGTAATTTGTCCTGGGGAAATACGCGGTAGTAGAATTCTTATAATTGCCACGAATTTCATTATGGCATTGAGTTACAAAATAATTATATTTCAATACAATATAGAAGTAATGTGTACATATATTAAAATGGCATTGTTTATTACTCCTGCATATCATCAACTGTAACTCCATTGGAGCATATTGAAAAAGTTTGATCAAGGAATGAACCAAACCTTTCAAGTTTCATTAGTGCGGATTGATGTTCGATGCCGATTTAAGATTGATGAGTATTAGTGATTTGTAATGTAATTTAAATTAAGTAGTTGTTTTAGTTTATTCCCATTAATATAGTCTTTTAGAACATTACTATTGTTGACACTATCTTAGTACGCTCACCCTCGATGACAAAGTTCGATTTAAAACCGTTTCAAAATCTTCTTTATTGAATAGGGAGGAAGGGAGGGGGAAGAGAGTTAGGCTTTTACATTTCTAATCAATAAAAGATTCACCTTTTCAGTCTGCACGTTTCTACGTGAATCATGGATCATCCAACTTGCAAGGCATGTTGTCTTTACAAGGGCCATCAAATGGGAGGATTCGGACTTATGTCTGGTTGTGGCAAACTGTCGTGGAAGAAATGAAAACAGTTATGTTGAATGAGGAAAGAGTTCAGCGTTATCTATTTCAATGCATATATTCAAATATGATGCTACGTAAAATTAAAAAGCAGTTGCGTATTGAATAAGCTCAATTCGCTTCAATTCAATTTACAAGTTGAATGTAGCAGCGAAGATTCAAGCGCAATTGACAAGAAGAAGACAAAGGTGGTCCTGGGGTTTGGTCATTAGCAGTATGATAATTAGTTAAAATATTTCAGTTACGTTGGTAAGATTTTGAAACTTTGCATTGAATACTAAGATTCAAACAACAAATAGAAAATTGTATCTACAAATAACTTCTGCAATGTATGAAGAAGAATTTGGAAAATGCTGAACAGAAAACAAACTCAGCTCAATATGCGAAATTTTGGAAGTAATTTATTTAATACCAAGTGGTATTTTTTGTCACCATGAGTGAAAGGTCAATAATTAAGTAATTACTATTTCAAATATTTGTTGGAACATTGTAAGCAAATATTGTTGTGATCGCAGAGACCTCTCAGGCAGCAACCCTCCATTTTATTATAATGATTCACCTTATTTGTCAGTTGCACACAGCTTAAATAAACAAATATCACAACAAGTGTCTAGTTCCTCTGTAGAGTTGAGATAGCTTAGCTAAACCTGGAGTCATTCTAAACTAGAAGAACTAGCTAAACAAGATTACTGGGCATATATCGAGCCTTATATTTGTGCCAATCCACATGTCAAGGAAAGTGCCAACTAAGCTATCATGGAACTTCAAGAAGGCTGGCTGGCCTAGATTCACAAACCTTTTAGAGGAAGAACTTCATTCAAGTCCCCTCAACTTCAACCATCATCCTGACAAACTTTGCACTGCTATCACGAATATTATGCTTAGATGTACAAAGAAAACTATTCCCCGAGGCAAAACTAAACACTATCGAGTGTTTTGGTCTAAACACCTTGAGGAACTGAAAAGAAAGAGGGACGCCCTTCGCAACACTGCTGGACAGACTGGAAGAACGGAAGAAGTACAAGCCTGGAGACGACAATCAGCTGTCTTCAGGCTAGCCATCTTGCAAGCTAAACGCACTTCTTTCAACAAGTTCATCTCAAATATCAACTACCAAAGTGATAGCCAACGCACTTTCAAATTTCTGAGAAACCTGCAAAACAACAGAGAAAGACCCAAGAAAGAACCAATACGCTTAAACAGCAAATTGCTTACCACCGACACCGAAATAGCTAACTGCTTTGCGAGGTTCTATTCCCACAAGCAAAAGAAAAACCCTTTGGTCAAAAAATCCTCAAGAGATTTAAAGATACAAGTTAGACAGTTTGGTGAAATTAAGGAAGACGCGACAACACCAAATAATTTACTTACTGAACCATTCCGTCCTTGCAAACTTAATGCTGCGATGAAACAGCTAAAGTGCAAGAAGTCTCCTGACGAAGATGGTATTCATCCAGAATTTCTAATTAGAATGGNTTCTGAACTCTTCTCTTTCTACGCAGCAGGGGGACAAAATAGATCTGCTTTTGAAGGAGAAATAGAGGCCATTAGGATAGCACTATGCCAATTATGTTGTCTGGATACGAAATTCACCAGAGCGGTGATACTTTCGGACTCACAGTCAGCAATAGACTCTATTGGAAACAGAGAGCCACCCAAAACAGCTGGGATAAACGAATGTAGAAAACTCTATGAGCTGCTGAGAGAGAAAAACAAAACAGTGGTCCTACAATGGATTCCTGGTCACTGTGGCATTAAAGGCAATGAGATTGCTGACACACTTGCTAAGAAGGGGACAACGATTTTGCAACCCATGGACCGGCCGATGTCTTTCCACACAATGAAGGCTTTAATCAGGAGAGAATTCCAGACCTCAAGGTTCAACGAACCCAAAGCTCGAACAAATGAGAAAGAGTGGACAGTGGCACTCTCCGACATACCCGACTGGCCAAGAATCGAAGCTGTTGCTGAGTTTAGACTACGTACCGGACACGATTGCTTGGCAAAACACCTTCTCAGATTGGGAGTATACACTCAGCCCACATGCCCTCTATGTAACCTACATGAGGAAATGGAGAAGACCCACCTGATTCGGTGTCCAGCCCTAAAGACAACGACGGAAAGCCAGAGATACTGGGAAGCAGGAAGACTGCTAATGAACTGATATTACTTAACTGCTATAAATGTACCCCCCCCCTCTTGGGGGAAGCTGAAGTCAAAGATTAAGGGCTAATGATAAATATCATAAAGCCTGCCATTTGAAATAATAATAATAATAATAATATTTGTGCCAATCCACACTTATCTTCAATTCAAATCATATAGAATTAACAAGGCGAAAGAGAATATAACGATGCAATTAGCACATTTATTTATTAACACGAAAAAAGAAAAAATCCTTGTTAGAATATTGAGATTAGGGACGATAGGCTTCAGTGGAAGGCCTCGCACAGTGATCTGAAATGGAATTATTGAGACATTAATTTTACTCACAATCAAATTAGGTCGAGCATATCCCCAATAACTAATATTTCTTGCATTTCTGAAATAAAATTGTTTCAAATAGACGAATTTGGTCATATTGTCATATTGCTGAAATCTTCTGCAGTATGACATGTAAAATATGAGGTTTGAAGGGTATGAACAGTGCTACTGTTGGACCATGCAGTCTCAATTTAAATTTAATTTACAATATATTAACTACACGCACTGGTAAAAGCAGTTGCAAAGTATTTCTAATTTCCATTGCATTTAATTCACGTTGCGATCTAAAGACAAAAATTCGTTTTGTATTGACATATAGTTAAAAGCAAACAATAACTGACACAATTATTTGCATTCAGTATCAACAATTAACAAACGAGTAAGCCATATTTTAATAATAAATGTTTTAAAAAATTATCTTAATTAATTAAAAATGCTACTCATGTGGAGTTAATAAGGCGAAATTTCAAAAGTGGCCAGCATTTCAAGAAACTAATTATGGATTTCATTTCATATTTACATTGTCCATCATATGACTAGTGAATTTGGTAGAAATGCATTTTAGGTTTGTAAAAGTAATAAGAAAGAAGAGAAATATCCAGTGATACAGCCAAAAGATATTGAATTGTTGCTTATATTTTCAATCTGTCAACTTCAAAACTCACAAGGAAATTCAAGATTCCTAACTCGCGTTCGTCATTGTCGTCGTCAGCCAAAAGCCAAAAGGTGCATTGTTGGTTAAGAACATCGCACGATGAATATTCTTCCCAAGAACTGCAAACGCTAGTTCCCCTTTTCTACCCGATTTTATCCATAGTGTGGATCATTTTGTGTTAGGAATAAATGAAAATTTCAAATAATTATTTCATCCTTGCTCTTGTCTATACCAATTCATGCTTGGAGTGATGATGAATTCGATCGTTCATATTGAATTCTGAGTGCAACGAAGGAAGGAGAAATTGAGGTGAATTCATCATGAAGGAGATCGAGTATTGAGTCCAGGTTGAAGGAGACAATCTTGCAAATCATCTCATTTTACGACTGGCATTCGAGAAATTTTTAAAATTGTTCTAAATGTCCGCATTCCCACTAATATCCCACTTGCGAAATTACACAAACGGATAGTTCAGGACAAATAGCTTCCATTGATAAAAGCTTACGATGTGATATTTATGAGCCAAATGCAGTGACTTCAAACTAACCCATATATACAGGCAGAAGGCCATTGTATTGAATGATAGAGAAAATGGACAAAAACACGATGATATTACCAGATGAATTCACACAAGCAGTCCTTTCAGATCAAATTTACTCAATTTACAAAGTTCTTCCAATGCGTCATTCAGGAGCACAAAGTTGTGTTTCAAAGAAAAATGTATTTGGAGAAGCGTAGCGTCAACGCAATTGTTGTAATAAATGGCAAAGCACAACAAGATGAAAAGTCTCATTTTGAAGGTTTATGGAATGCTGACTTTATTGTGGCCTTATATAATTTCATTCATCTAATAGAACCCAACCCCATCTGAGCATAGTTCAAGATATTCAATGATATCTAAGTCCACTCCTTCAAAAGCGCAAGTTAGATGAGAAAATGGATTAACAACAATATCACTATAAGTTGATAGGCTTTCATTTGCAGTTCGCAACTAGGCCAAATAAATAGGCCGATGTTTTATCTTTTTGATAAATCAGTTAATATTTATCTCGCTAAATTAACTACGATTCTAAATGCACAGAAAATGAAATTAACGAAAAAATATAGATTTTACAAGTCCCAACTCAAGAGTGGTCGAGGATGTACATGTTTACATTGATGGCATAATTCAAATAATTAATCAGAATATAGTGTGTATTGGCGTTTCCAATTCAATCAATACTTTTATATCCAAAGCGCTCTGTTATTCTCTGTTTTACTATGCATTCTTCTAAACAAATATTTCAAAATTTAAAACTATAACTAGTCAAGAAATTACCTGGGAATGCCCACAGTGCAGATCTCTCATGCAGGGAATAAGCCTGAGGTCAAAGATAATTTTGCACTTCACAATTCATTGATCCATTTCTTATACGATGAAGGGGATAAAGAAAAAGAAAATTTTTATGCTCACTTGGTTTTCAATTTCCATGAATTCAACAATAATTTTATGTAAACCCAGCAATTTATTATTCCTTTTAGGATCCATTCAGTTTAATAATTGCATAATGTTGGCCTTATCGATAAAGCGGCGTAAAGGCAAACAAGAAATTCTTATAAGATTATACTTCTAATGCTATGGGCACATATGTTGATTTGAAATTGAGAATTTGAGAAGGAAACAAATGACTGTGGCTGTTAGCAGTTGCATTGAATTGAGAATTGAAGTGTGTAAGATTTTCAAAATAGAATTATTTGTCATTTGGGAATGTTTCTCAGTGCAATTTCCTCAGATAATATGTCAAGTTGATAAATACAACAGTTCTCTCGTAACGCATTTACGGTTTAATAAAAGACAATTTTCCATAAACTCGTAACAATAATATTTTAAAATAACGTGTGGATTTGAAATACCCTCAAAATCGCACTTGAAAAGAAGAATTAGAATTTATATGTGTTAATGTTAAATTTTTGAAAGAGAATTTTACATTAAAATGTGCACTCGATCCTCCAATTTGATGATAAATTGTAATCTTACATATGTTTTTCGCATCTGCCCTCTAATTTATCATCTTTGATAAGCGAAAAGTAAAATAGCATTTCTAATATTGTTAAAAAATCAGCTATTTATATATCTCCAAATCACATAGCATAAGTACACTTATTTTTTTGGTTGAGAAGATATGTAGTGGATAAAATTCATGGTCCCCCATCATTCAACTGAACAGGTTGCACCCAAGTTGCATCGATTTTAAATTTCCTCACTCAATACATAATTTTGATCCCGTTTGATCAAATTACTTAATGAAATGTTATAAATCGATAAATTAAATGGTCTGAAACTGCATCAAATAAATATATTTCAAAATTATGTTCAGATTTGATGTATCAGATAAGAAGTCAGATTAAGAGAAAAATATGATTCAACATATATTAATGTTAATTTTGTTTGAAAATGTAATTGGAATGCTAATATGCATTTAATTTTATAGTGCGTTGAAAATTATAATATGAATTAACTTTTTGGGAGCTTTCCAAACCTTGTGTGCATCTGATTACAACTGCACAAAGTAACACTATCAATGTTATTTAAGCAGACGGTCAATCATTTATTTCCAAGTAATCTTTCCTCCTATCTCAATAGCCCGACATTTTCAGTTTTATGATGAGAGCAACTTAACAAATTGCAATCTCGTCAAATTTATACTAGAATGTTTTCGTTGTTTTAATATTTTTCCTTTGACAATTATGTTTTTGCATTAGAGTTAAAGGCACAGTTTGAATGGGGAAGGCTTCCATGAGCGTGCAAAACAATTTTTGAGTCGACCACACTTCCAAGCATACCACTAAAGATTATTATAAAATTCCTTTTCAAAGTTGATTGTGAGCGTTTTTTATTGATTTTATGATTGGTGAGTGTACGATTCGAAGATATTTATGTGAAAGAGAGAATAAATTGTAGGAAATACTCAAGCCATGCTTTGTGTTTACCGTTCCTTGGTAGTTCTGAGGTCATGAAAAGACATGCTAGTTTCGAGTCTTTATTGGAAAGCTTCATACTTTGCCATCTAACTACATCTG